TGTATTTAGGGAATTAATTCGATAAGATATTTAAAAAAAGATGTGTGTTGTCCTGAGATAGGAACTAAGTTCCTTATTATAAAAATATTAATTTTAAGTTCTATTCGAGGTATAAAGATAATAAAACTGGAGGTTTCACAAAAATCCACGGTCATTCGGTAATGTGCGAACTTATTGTGGTACACTTCATTCACGGTATAAGAGTTAGTGTATTGCGCAAACGAACGCTCTGAGATCGTGGTCAATGAATGATATAAAAATATGATATTTTTTGTACGTTATTACAAAGTAAAGTCGTACACTGTGTGCATTACTAATAAAATCTTACGTTACGGACGTTTTTTCCCAGTTAGGGTACCCCTCCGCATAGTCCCATAAGGAACTTCGTTCCAAAAATATTTACTTTTGGACAATTGAGTTAAAGTTTGCTTACGTTTTTGTAAAGAGGTTAATTGTGAGAGCGCGTTGCAACGTAACCTCGTTCAGCTCAATTTGGAATACTAGAGCGCTGTGAGCCGATTAAGTTTATCGATTTATTTATAGCTGTTCACAGGTATGCGGTGCTGCAATTAGGATTTGTAAGGCTTCTTCAATCATGTTTGTATAGGTACAAATTTAATTAAACATTACAATTTACTGGTGGTAGGACCTCTCCCGCACGGGTAGGTACCACCACCCCGCTTTGTTTCTATCGTGAAGCAGCAATGCGTTTCGATTTGAACGGAAGGGTAGCCGTAGTAACTACACTGAGACCTTAGAACTTACATCTCAAGGTGGGTGGCGCATTCACGTTGTAGATGTCTATGGGCTCCAGTGACCACTTAACACCAGGTGGGCTGTGAGCTCGTCCACCCATCTAAGCAATAAAAAAAAACAAAAAAAAAAACAATTACATTTGTCAGTCGTCGTGGCCTAAAGGATAAGGCGTCCGGTGCAATCGTATCTTGCGATGCACCGGTGTTCGAATACCGCAAGGAAGTACCAATTTTTCTAATGAAATACGTACTTAACAAATGTTCACGATTGATTTCCAAGATGCAGGAATAACATCGTGTAATAAAAATCGAACCAATTTGCGTAATTACTGGTTGTAGGATGTCTTGTGAATCCGCACGGGTAGGTAGGTACCCTGCCTATTTCTGCTGGGAAGCAGTAATGCGTTTCGATTCGAGGGGTGTCTCAAGGTATGTGCCGGCATTTACGTTGTAGATGTCTATGGGAAAAGGTGGGCCGTGAGTTTATTCACGCACCTAAGCAATAAAAAACATCAAATTTATTATAATTTATTGTTCGTAAGTGTAAACTGTGTAGCAGATGCTAGTATTTTTTTTTTCTTAGATATGTTTTTTTGTAATTTGATATCAATATTGTGGTTTTTTTTTCACATAATTATCGCAGACATATTTTTATTGGTAGGTACATTGCACGGTTTTCGCGATTTGTAGACAAATTCATAAGTATCCGAAATAAATTCGACGTATCGGAAAGGTTAGAGCCTTCAATAAACTGAATTAAGCCGTAAAATAGGTTATAATAGAATCATATAAATTATATTTCAACTATCATTATGATTTTTAATTTGCTTAAACAAGCGAACAAGGTCCGCTGCTGGTCGACCTAGTTCTTTGAGTCTATAATGTTTCCAGACCTTGAGGATGAAGTCTCATTTGCAATTAAAACGATTGCACTAACTTTCAATCGGATAACGTGATGTCTAACGCTAAAAAAGGCTATACGTGCGGCGTTACAAAACAAACAATTGAAATAAAAAAAATAAAAAAAATGTGAGCCGTCACGGAACGCCTGGCAGATGTGAAACATCGACATTATTTTGTAAAAGTAATATGCAGAAAAGAACAGATTGTGATAGGAACTAAATATTTCATAACGATAAAATAAAATATTACGAAAAAATAAATTGTTTTCAAGTAAAACACAGAGAGAATCGCACAGTCCATTGCGCATGGCGACGCGTCGCCACACCGTACACACTACTACATATAGGCTGTATATATATACCATCATATAGCGTGGGACGCGTCGCCACGGCATGCGTCGCCACGCCAGAAATAGGTTTTACGTGCGGCTAGATGTTTCACATCAAAAATCATACCTTTTAAAAATTACGCGCATGATAAAACGCAACGAAAATGTTCGAATAAAAAAATATCAACCAAATTTCTCTCCTGTAGTACTATTTAATGTTGAAACGAGATTCTCGGGCGGAATAAGAGTATAATAAAACTACTTGGGCAAATGGGACACATCGTAAAATCTACGAAAGATAATATGAACCGCCGCGGCCGACGAAACGCTGTCAGTATACGGTTTTGTACAAACAAATATGTGAGCTCGGATTTAAACTTCATTTCAGTTTCAGCTACTAAAGTTTGTACTCGGAACTTCGCTACTTGGAAATAATAAGCCACGTGCTGACAAAAGTTCATATGTCATTTACTAAATTAATAAAATAATATTTCTATTACATTTCTTTTCATATATTCAAATATATTATGAATGTCGTTCTTCGTAAAAGGTTAACTTATATTGCGTGTGAAAATCGTGCCTGTTCGCTTTCTATTTTTAAGAATCTAACTTCGTAATCTTAAAGTTTCCTGAAAAAACATTGTTTGACACTAAACAAATTTACTCTAACACAATTTAACACATCGAAAAATTTCACGACAATTATTCTGGTGTGTTCATGTTATGTTTCCGCATACTCACATAGCTAAAACGGGACGAAGAATAGAAATGTATACTAGCCTAAAAGAGACAAATACACTATCCTCTTGCGGGAACAATTTGTCACTGTCTCCGCCAATTTCCTCTTGTAACTAGTTTTTTCTTTGCGCCACGTAAATTTAATTTCAGCTCTTTGTTGAACCGGCTTGAAGCGGTTGTAACCGGCTAGTGGTCGGTAACTTTTTCCACAACCTTTTCTGTTTGTACGACTGCTCTTTTAACTAGTTTCAAGTTATTTCGTTCGACACTTCGAGAGCGTGGAATGGGATTGAATCAACAGCTAAGTTCATACTTTTAGTAATTGTTTATAGTTCCGAGATACAAATCTATATTTATAAGAGAATTGCTGTTCGTTAGTCTCGCTAAAACTCGAGAACGGCTGAACCGATTTTGGTCTTGAATTATTTGTGGAAGTCCAGAGAAGGTTTAAAAGGTAGATAAATATAAAAACGCTCGGAATTAAATAAAAATAACAATTTTGTTTTTCCCTTTGATGTGTCCCCCATCGGACTGATTCCTTTTGTTTGTTTTAAGTTTATTTTATACAAAAGTTTAGGTCTTTTATTTATCGATTAAGGCTCTACGAATCTGCCGGGTCAGCTAGTATATATATAATTACTAGTAAAATTTACGAAGTCATTAATTAAAAAAAAAAAAAACTGTGTTACTACCTACTCTTTCTAAAAAAATATATAAAATAATAATTATTAATAACTCTCAAAACCACTTATGACTACAGCTTAAAAACAATATTCGACACGGTCCATACCGTTTCCCTAAAAATACTAAAAATTCAAAGCAAAAAACCGTCTTGTGATGGTCCATCTATCTAATAAACCTAATATTGGTTCAATACGCGCTCAAGAGGCGTGAAATGATGCCCCACTCTCCGCCCTGTGGGGAGGTAAAATAACCAAGCGAAGACGACCTTTGCTGTTTATATTTTTTTCAGCGAGAGTCCTTATAAGAACGCACTGTGCATTGGTTTCAAGGTTTCAAGTTGATTGGTCGTGTGACACTGAACCTTTTTATGTCAAAACTGCGAAAGAGGAGGTGGAAAAGTTTGGGGAATAAACAACGTGATATATTCGACTTGTTGAATCCGTAAGTTCATTTGAAAAGTTTTAAGGAATCAATTAGATTTGTTTATTTTTGGCAGGATTTCAAATCGGTATTTGTCAGTAAGTATCCTTTGAGTGATGATCATGGTCTTTATTTTTAAAGCGCATATACATTTATACAAATCTATATATATAAAAATGAATTGCTGTTCGTTAGTCTCGCTAAAACTCGAGAACTGCTGGACCGATTTGGCAAATTTTGGTCTTGAATTATTTGTGGAAGTCCAGAGAAGGTTTAAAAGATAGATAAATAAGAAAATGCTCGGAATTAAATAAAAATAACAATTTTGTTTTTCCATTGCTGTATCCCCCGTCGGACGGATTCCTTTTGTTTGTTTTAAGTTTATTTTAAACAAAAGTTTAGGTCTTTTACTTATCGATTGAGGCACTACGAAGTCTGTCGGGTCAGCTAGTCTTAAATATTTAACACCTTCAATTTTCTAATTGTTATAAAATTGTATCCGTTAATGTTACAAGCGGACTGTATAGGGCTGTACAGGCCTACAGTGCCGTGTTAACCTAACAAATTCCGTTGATGACAGTTACTTTCTCAAATTACTTTAGTCTGATGCCTGGGGTAAACAATTCAGATGTCTTCACGTCCCGGATGGAAAGGCATTCCTAGCGAGGACCCTCACAAAACTATTCGCCTTAAAACGAATAGCACGACGATACGCTCGTCACATTACACACTTCAACTGACTTAACGTTCGGATACATTTTTCGATTATACGGCCTACGTTTTTGTTTTTATAAAATACAATTTGGAAAATTAATTTACTGTTTTTTTTTAAATTATTCAAACCGTTATAATTGGTTTGATAATTTATTTATTGCAATCAAAAGGCTTAGTGAGGATTAAGTTATGGAATCGTTTCAAGATAATTATAACGTGTTTTGCATAAATAAATGATGGTACCTACTATTCATCCGGTAGGGATTGTGCGTGTGTGTTGGTATTTATGATTGTATCGTGCTCATGAACGTTGACGTAATTATATAAAAGTAAAGTTCTATGTCTAGTCATTAAACCAAAAAGTCAGTAGCCCGCCTCATGTCTAAAAACATTTAAATGTGCATCATCGATTTTGGGTAATGGTTATATTGGTATAACAAAAAAAATTAACCACTTACTGTGGTCAAAAGTCCTCGGGTCGACAGTGGTCGTGGTGACATGAGTGGTGACTTCATCGACGTCATCATCATCGTCGGGTTCTTCAGTCGTGGTGGTGGTGGTGGTGGTTGTACGACGGCGGTTGCGCTGACGCTGACGGCGTGGCGCTGGCGCAGTGGTCGGGGCAGCTGTGGCAGCTTTTGGCATTTTTGCCACAATGGAGGTGCCAGAGCCCGAGCCACCATCGGCGAGCGCCAGCGCCACTAGTGACACGGTTGCTAACCGCATCACCAGTGGCGCTATACGCTTCATCTTGCCTGTAACAAAAGAATCATCAGTTTAATATTTAATTCAAAAAGAGCACAAGTTTCGTTCTCGTAAGGAACCTTATAAATATTATATATATATATATTACAAATTTAAGTCGTCGTGGCCTAAAGGATAAGACGTCCGATGTATTCGTTTTGAAGCGATGCACCGGTGTTCGAATCTCAGGTGGGTATTAATTTTTCTAATAAAATAGGTACTCAACGAATGTTCACGATTGACTTCCACGGTGAAGGATCGTGTAATAAAAATCAAATCCGCAAAATTATAATTTGCGTAATTACTGGTGGTAGGACCACTTGTGAGTCCGCGCGGGTAGGTACTACCACCCTGCCTATTTCTGCCGCGAAGCACTAATGCGTTTCGGTTTGACGGGTGGGACATCCGTTGTGACTATACTTGAGACTTTAGAACTTATATCTCAAGGTGGGTGGCGCATTTACGTTGCAGATGTCCGCACATCTAAGCAAAAAAAATATGAATTACAGTGACATAATAAATACAATATACTATTATAGTATATACACGATTTGTAGTATTGCAAAAAGTAGTGTTGTGAAAAAAATAATATCAAAGCTAAAGTGCTTGACCGCAAACATCTGTCAACGTTATAATGTGGTCGTTTCGCGTCGCTTAATGCTGCGGGGGTCGAAAGGGCCACTGTAAATTCTTTATGGCATTCTATTCGACTACCTCGCCAAATGGAATTTTGTTGTAAGGAGGCATCGGGGTTCAACCATATTATAAGTTTCACTTGTACGAATTAAAAAGAAAATGGCGTTATTGTACGTTTAATGGAGATTATTCGAAGTTTTAATGTTAATGTAAGTGGTTTATTGACAAAAGATTAAGCCCAAGTGTGTTAAATAAATCAAAATATTTTTACAAGCGTTGAATGTATTTGTAGCTCTTAATTGGTCAAGTTTGACAGTAATGGCATTTATCGCTTCAAGACTTATTTGTGGAATAGATCGAGAGGGAGATCGATAAAAAAAGTACGGACTCACAACGTGTCATACAACTAGTACAAATTTATGAAAGAAAATCCCATTGAAGGTTAAAAGCAGGTACTGTGTCAGTGCGACATAAAATATGCAGATTCGTTTGCATCGATCAAAAGGACAGTGCCTAATCGCGTGGGACGAGATACTCTGCTGATGTCGCCTGCTGGCTTCTCGAATAGGATAGAGTACGCCTAACGCTTCCCAGGGGAGAATACTGAAAGCCTCCCTAGCTCCGCTCCACTTAGGCAATGTTCTTTAGGCCTCGTACCTTTTATTTCTCGCCTCTCGCGTGCTCGCTTTGATGGATGACAAAGACTTTCTCAACCTAACTAAAATTTCATACGGATTTCGCGGTATGAATTTTTTATTCGACGGTAAATATTGAAGGAGTGCGTCAGCATTTTATTTGTTACAAAAATTGCCTTAACTTTCACAGAAATGAAAACACTACGCTCGCTAAATCATTGTCAGAAGCTATAAAACTTTCCCGGTCGTATTGCAGAAAATAGCTTCGTTTGGAATCAATACTTGATTGCAGCTCTATTAAATTTTCCTTACTTCTAGAGCCTTATTTTATTTTAATGACCCTCGATAATAACGCAGTCCGAACGACAAAATGTCGAAACTCGTTGGATATGAAAACGTAAATTGAAAATGTTATTACTTCTTAAATTAATAATTTCGAGTTTCAATCGGCTTCCGTTATAAAGATCAGCGTTGCTCGAACTTAAATTAAATTCATTTTGTCATTGAATAAATTGGTTGCCAGGCGCTCCTCGCGTATCGCAGAGAAACGTTTGTACGGGAAACACTGACAATAATAACTTTGACAGTTATAACCTTCGTGTAGCTTAGTTTGGCAACGTGAGCTGTGGTTAACGAAACTTTGACACTTATAGTCCACTCGCAATATATAGCCTGTCACTTGAACTCCAACGTCCTGGAGTTATTCACGAATAGTTCAGTTTAAGAAATATTCGTTTGCCGTCGATGTGCTTTTGTTTGATAATTGTGGTTTAAATACTAAACTATTTTACTGGTGTGGTAAAGATTGAACGTGAGTGAACATTGAAAAGAAAGTTTTCTCGCGTACAGGTAAATCCTGCGAGGCTAAAATTAAGAAGGTTATAATGATAATCATTATCATCATCATCATCGGCCATCACTGAGTCTCTACGAACACCCCTTAGGTCGGTTTTTGGCTCTCCATAAAAAGTAAATAATGACAAATTTAATGAATAATAATAATACTATAATTAATAGTCTTGGTTGCTATTCTATAAGCAAAACTTGTAACCAACATCAAGTTACACATGTGCAGCTATACTAGGTTCGCTGTTAGTCTCCCAAATACTACAAAAGAAAAAAAATTGTTGTAAGCCGGTTCGAATTGTGATTATCGAAAACAGCGCGGTATGATTGAATAAATTACAGCAAAAAGGTCTGTGGTTTGTCATTATTGGACATGCACACGACGGTTAATGGTGGTTTTAATTAGGTAAGTGCTTTTAACATGGCCGTTTATTTGTATATGTTTTGTGCAATAATAATAAGTTATTAATTTTTGATCACCACATTCGTTTGACAGTTCGCTATAATGAAAGTACATTGGCACCGGGTGGCTATTCCAGGTCGGTGCCAGTATCTTTGTTTAAAGTTTTTTTTATATTCTTCGACGGGGCGGTGGGAGGGGGTGTTGATGTACTAATTGTTACTGTTGGTAGGACCTCTTGTGAATCCGCACGGGTAGGTACCACCGCCCTGCCTATTTCTGCCGTGAAGCAGTAATGCGTTTCGGTTTGAAGGGCGAGATAGCCGCTGTAACTACACTAAGACCTTAGAACTTCTATCTCAAGTTGGGTGGCGCATTTACGTTGTAGACGTCTATGGGCTCCAGTAACCATTTAACACCAGGTGGGCTGTGAGCTCGTCTACCCATCTAAGCAATAAAAAAAAGATGGGTGGTGTCGTCCTTATTATAAAAAGATTAATTTTAAATTCTATTCGAGCTATAAAGAAAATAATTAGGGTATACATTATTTATTATGATTTTTTTATTGATAACAAAAAAACTACTTTACAAAGTTATCAACTTTATTTTATTTACAATGATTTATAAAAAAATATTATAATATACAAAGAAACAGCTATTTATATGAATAATAATAATAACCGTCATCACGTAGACTATACATTAGACACTGTATAGCCATCGCACTAAGACTAAACATAAATCATAAAAATCTTACGTTACGGACGTTTTTTCCCGTTTAGGTTACCCCTCCGTATCGTCCCATAAGGAGCTTCGTTCCAAAAAAACACAATTCATCGAAGACCGATTCTAACTTCGGCTCTTTTGTAGGACGGCTACCTATTCATTATTTATTCATTCAACAATACCGTATCATATACGTAAACTTAAATTGAAATCGTTTGTGTAATTTTATATTGTTCGGTGTACAATATCACCACTCTTATACAGCATTGCTATCTTTGAATATTTAAAATCGAAACTGAATTACATTTTTTAAAAGAGTAACATCAAAAGAAATCGAACGAAGCGAAGTAAATACGTTTTACAAATTGTTGAGAAGAAAATGTAATATAACGTTCGTTCAAGAGAGTCAATTCAATTGAAAAATATTACCGTAACATTTGTATGAATGTCGTAATGTGATCTCATTACCGGTCTTTCAGCGTACAGCGACTACGCGGAAATCGTATAGGTACTCACCGTAATAAGCTATACAGCGAAACCATAGTACCTGACATAGTACCCGATGTTTATATGCTTTATTGAAACAAATGTCGCCACCGTAAGACTTTAATCGAAATTACAATTGTATAACTTATACCTTTAAACGAGCAATATATTATATAATCTGAATCTCGGAAACGGCTTTTTATAAAATTTAGTATACAGGGGATTTCGGGGGCGATAAATCGATCTAGCTACGAATTATTTTCAAAAAAAATTGTTTTATTCGTGTTTTCAATAATCAACTTTATGACTCTTCCCGACATCTATTGGCGACTAATAATACTATTTTTCATAATTGAGAGCAACTAACTGCTTTAAACATCGATAGATCGATGGCTTTAAAGCACTTTAAAGACACAATAACACTAAAGCTATTTTAGCAGATGGCGTTGTTAAGCCACCCGAAGCCAATGAGTGTTTGGTTTAAGTTTAGACCAAGAAAATGAATTGTTTATTTATATTATTTGTGTCTTTTTAACTCACGTGTTCACTTAAAAATGCCTAAACAATCTTGGAATATTTCATTATTTTATCAATATGTAATTCGGATTTAAATATAATTTCTAAAAAACACAATTTGTCAAAAAAAAAAAAATCGTCTAGTTACAATTGTATAATGATGGCTTTCAACTTATAAACGTAAGATTGTTTCGCGGCAGTAATTGCCCGTACTTATCCGTACCACCAGGTTACCTATCTTTGCCGATATAATGGATACAAGAAAAATCCAATACAGCGACAACCGACTCTGGTTCTGACCGTGCGAGGAATCCCAGGAGAACGGGCTAACTGTATCAACTAGGCAGAGGATAGCTCGCACGTAGGTCGTGATCTTGGTGTCTGCGATTGTACGCTGGGCATTCCGCGGGGTTAGGAGAAAGGTGGTGAAAGATGTGCTCCGGAAAGCTGTTGATTGTTGAATGAAGCCTTCAGTCGGTTAAACTCCGATATGCCCCGCTTACCACCCCCAACGCATAGATAGTTCAGCGATTTTATTTTTACCCAAAAAAAAGGTCTTAGCTTGGCATAATTTCTTTCAGTTCCGTCTCATGTATTTTTGGTCAATTCTTTAATATTAATACTTTAGTTTTGCATTACCGTTTGAAGCTTATTACTCCCAATATAACCTGAGACTTAGTCCTCATATCTCATAGTTCAAAACACGGTTCTTTGTATATGTCACAGATTAAATGGTTTCTTTAGGCGCGACGTAACTGTGTCCCAA